CCAGCTGGTACACGGTCCCAGCACCACAGCCTGGAGGGTCTCCAGCTCTTACACAGTCCTCGTTCTGCTTTGCCTAACCGCCCTGGTCTTCGCTGAGTCTATTCAGTATCATTCTGCAAGTGGCTATAGCTTATAAAAACACAATTAAAAGCAGCATCCTTTATAATTTAAAGCTTGTGAATGACATGCATTTTCTGCTTTGCTCCCTGTTGCTGCAATGTTTGCTCATAATTTACTAGTGTTGATTGCTGGTCAACATTTCCCATTCCATTTTGTACAAGTCACTGTCACTAAGTGATTGCAGGATCTGACCATAGATAGCTCTAATGTTGTACCTCAGATCTGCTGTCGTTTTGTGTTCCTGTTTCTGTGCTCATTGGCAATCCAGAGTTTATCGCCCTGGAGGCCCAATCCCTTAACCCTTTCCCAGCTTTGAAAACTTATCTAAAGGAACATAATGTTTTCCCCATTGATGATTTTGTTTCCAGTATGGATCATAACTTCTGGCTTTCCCCTGTGGAATACTCTGCAATCATTTAACCCTTACTTTTAAGCTGTCAGTAGCCAGGCCAACACACCATGTCAGAATAATATCTTTGATTACTGCAATGAGTAACTATTCCCCTGTCTGTTAAATCATTGTAGCAGCTCCAGTTCTACAACATTTTGGAAGCTGCCCCAACCAAACTCCCCATAGTGTTGTGGTTGTGATTCCATTCTCCTCCTAAGCTTTGCACACCCATGGGTATGCCTCCTGCACTGTCTAACTGTTTTTCATGGTGGTCACCAGTCTCTTCACTGAAAAGTCAGGAGTTGTGGGATGACAGCCTCCTGAAATATGCCGCCCACAAAGATCTTACCTGAATGTATGTATTCAAACTCAGAAGCTTTTAGCTTAAGCACTTGGTGTTTTCTGCATGTGTAGTTTTCCAGGGTACGCTGTTCCAGCTACTCTGCCATTTTTTTTCCAAATAATTTGTTTCTTAAGATAATTTAGCTAAAATGATATGCACTACAAAATATATCCACCATTACTAATACATCCTAACCATTGCAAGCAATCACCATTAAACTACCAGTAAATACTGAGCTGTAAACAATACCCAGCCATTCTCTTGGTGTTGTGATGTACCATTTTGGTTTTCTTGACTTCTTTTTCAGACTTGCTGTTTCCCTTTTTTGCTGCTCTCTCTCTTATAGGAGGAATCCTTTTGTGGATCTCTTTCATGCTCCTCTAGCTACTAGGGGATAGCAGTGGGATTCCCTTTCATTTTCTGAGGATGTGAACTTTTATTTGGAGGTATTGGCTGGTCAGATACCAATTTTGGTCAAACTAAGGGATGGTAGATGATTAGGACTAGTTCAAGGTGGAAACCTGACAATAGCATTTGGATGAGCTGGCACAGGCACCTGAGAGCATTGGAATAGTGAGACCTAGCCGCAATTCCAAGAGCCAACAGATGTATACAGTGTAGAAAAGACTGTTTGGGATGATCTGCTGTCAGTGCTACAAACTGAACTCTATTCCAACTGTACAATGATATTACAGTTTGCACCTTCTGCTGTTAGTATTATCCGCTCATTGCTGTGTAACTGCAGTCACATTGAGGAGGCCCATGCATTTTGTGATTTTAAATTGTAAAATATAAAAATTTTGTTTAGAAATCTGCCCATGCTTTTCATAAAAAGTGGTCTGTTTTACTTTCTTTACTCACTAAGGAGCTTGATATGTCTTCTAAAAGATGAATGTTGTAAATGAAATCTCTTCCACAATTCATGTGTAGGTATCGGACTTAACATTTTACAGACACTGCTGCAAACAGCCAAAGAAAAGATTGCTGTCTGATAAACTTGATCCTGATAGATGTCATGATCATCCAAGATTGGAAGTAGTTCAGCCTTGTAGGCTAAAGCTGGACATTGTCGAGTAGCTTTTGTTCAGATTTTTTTTTGTTTCAATGAATTTGATTGAATGAATGATGTAAGTGAGAGATCTTTCTAATGCAGGCTGAGAACCACGAAAATGCCTTTTGTATTTCTGTGCTTGAAAAATCACAAGAACAATAAAAAGTAATTGATGAAAGTTAATTACAAACTCCCAAACAACATGAACTAACTGTTTTCCTATATATTTTTTGTTCCCTTATGTGTGATACTGACTGCAGTTCATTTTGGATTTCATCTCTGAATTATCCTATTAGCACTATTTGTGTAAATTAAAATTGTATTTCACAAGATGGAATTGAATAGCTTCCAGAGCATGAGGTGGAGACAGATTCTTATCAGGTTAGAAGTCAGTGACTGAGAGGCAGTCTAGAATGAGGCTGGGTGATACACAGAATATTACTGCATAGAAGGAGGCCTTTCAGTTGTTAAGATTGTACTAGTTCATTGAATTAATCAACAGGATTCACTCCCCACTGTTTCTCCACAGTATTGCAAATTTTTACTTTCCAAATATTTATTCAACCCCCTTCTACCCATTTTCAGAGTATGCCTTGCCACTGTTCTAATGCCAGGTTAATTTATCCATTTTTCTCAGGAACAGTGATGCATCATAACTTAAATAAAAGCTAAATACTGCAAATGTTGGAAATCTGAAATAAAAGCAAAGCTTCGGAGAAACTCAGCAGGCCTGGCAGCATCTGTGAAGAGTAAAAGAGTTAATACTTCAACTCCAGCATGACAGTTCTTCAGAAGAAGAGTTATATCACAACATTAACTCTGTTTCTCTCTCCATGGAGGCTGTCAAACCTGATGAGTTTCTTCAGCACTTGCTTTTCTTATTTCATGTATCTTGGCTTGTCTGACATAATTTAGCACTCATTTTGGTTTGATCTTGATTGCTTTCACTATTGCTGTAGTTGCAACTACACTAGTGACTTGTCAATGAAATGAATGTAGAATAAAACATACAAGTTTTCTACAGCAAAGAAGAAACTGGAACATCAGCATCATTGGTCCTCAGCTTAAACATAGCTTAAAACAGGAATTTGTTTTTCTTTCAGGTAAAGGAAGGAATTGACCACAACTGGTGCCATGAGAGATCTCTAGCAGAACCTGTTGAATCTGATCACTCTATCTTCAATGCCGTGACAATCCTGAAATTCCTGCTCTGGCTGGTCCTACTTGGCCTCTTCATTGAGCTGGAGTTTGGCCTGGCATTTTTTGTGCTGTCAATGTTTTATTGGATCTATGTTGGGACCCGAGACCCATCCAAAAAGAAGCGAGGTGAAGTTAGTGCATACTCTGTGTTCAACCCTGGCTGTAAGGCTATTGAAGGCAGTCTGACAGCAGAGCAGTTTGAGCGAGAACTTCAGTACAGACCTTTAGCTGGCAGGTGACTAGCCTGTGAAATATTTTTGTTTTATTATACTAAATGTTCATTGGGTTTATATTATCCCTGATATTCAGTGTGTTGCCGCAGTCTCTCATGTTACATAGGTCAGTGCTCAGCAGTGGTTTACACACTGCAGACTGTCCACATGTGACATGGACATGGTAATATTGAAATACAAAAGAAAGGCAACAATAAAATTGACATTCTCATTTACAAAAACAGTTTGTTTAATAGCATTAAATGTATTTTCTTGTAATTCTGTCCTTTATCTCAAGACTAATACTGGAATATTCTGCAGGTCGCATTGTACATTTAGTTTTTAAATAAATGTGCCAAATTAAATGATATTTAATGCCCTAAAACTTGTTGAGAAAAATCTAGTTGTCCTGCATTCTGCCCTCCATTTAGTTCTGTTTTACTGCACAGGTTGGGTTACAAAACAGGAATAAATCTTAAATTCACCGTCTTAAGATCTTATAAATCATGAATAAAACCTGGACAATGTATTGCTGTTACCAAGCCCTGCACCTAGATTTACATCTATCATGTTCTTCCTAATAATTACATATAGTAAACTACAGGCTTACATTTTTCAAAGCACATTACATTAAATTGTTGGTCACTGGATTGAAAGTATTTTTGGTCATTTATTTACCAAGTTTCCACATCTATCACATGACTTAAGCTGCAGTGATGTGTCACGCAGATGACACCTCAGTGACACCATTATTTCTCACAATGTTCTAATACCTTCTCATGTTCACCTTCTAAATGTCTGATGTTATCCACACAGATTAGTTTCTCACAGCGTCACAAACTGCTTTTTAGATTGCTACAAGATTGCACTGAGTTCTTAAAATGACCATCAGTAAATTAAGTTGTGAAATGGTCTGTTATTGCCCCACAATTATCTTCCATTCGACATTGCAATTTCTCATGTTTCAGCTTTGTTTTCAGAGTACGGGTGACTGTGTAGATTTAATGTTGATTTTTCATCCTTCTCCAGCGAGAGGAAAATAAAGAACATTGCATTTTTACAGTGCTTTACTTTGTGGGCAAGTGTGGCAAAATCCCAATGTGCAACACTGAATTAAGTGCCCAAATAAAGTATTTTTGGTGGTATTGTTTGGGTAGTTATTTGTTGGCCATATCAATGAGAGACTTCTCCTCTGAAAAATGCCAAGAGATTTTTCACATCGACAATAGCTTGCACTCATATAGCAACTTTAACTTAGTAAAATATCCCTTTGTGCTTCATAAGAATTTTAGGAAACAAATCTGACAGCAAACTACATGAGACATTAAGGCAGATCAGAGGTAGGTTTTCTTAAAGGTGGAGAAGTTTATGAAAGGAAGCCCAGACTTTAGGGCATTGACAGAAAAAGACAAGACTGTCAATGAAGATGTGATTAAAATCGGTGTTGCTCAAGAGGTCAGAATGTGGAAAGTGCAAATACCTTGGAACATTTTAGGGCTGAAGGTGATGACAGGGATAAGGAGCTGTGAAACAATGGAGAGATTTGAAAATAAAAGTGAACATTTTAAAGTTGAGGCTTTTCCTACCTGGGAGCTGGGCTGATGTGTGTCTGAGATTTGGTGTGAGAATACAACTAGGAGGGACTCTTGGGTGACCTCAGTTACACTTTACGAGAGCAGGTGAGAAGCTAGGAATTCTGTGGCAATAAACATACTATCTTTAATGCCTGCCTACCAAGCCAGGAGTGTGATGGAGTACTCTCCACCTGCCTGCGTAAGTGCTCAACACCATCCAGGACAAAGAATTCATTTGATTGTCATCCCTTCCACCATTTTGAACATGCAGTTCTTTGCCACCACCACAGTGTGTTCATGATGAATGTGTACCATCTACCAGATGCGCTGAAGTAACTTACTAAGGCTCTTATAACAGCATCTTCTAAACTTGTGACTTCTACCACCTAGAAGGACAGAGACAGCAGACACATGGGAATGCCATCACCAACACCACACGGACTGCAGTGGTTCAAAAAGGTGGCTCACCACTACCTTCTCCAGAGTAATTAGGGATCAGCAATAAATGTCGGCCTAACCACCAATGTCTACTTTCCTCAAGCAAAGAATAAGTACAGATGATAGAGGGGAATGATGGTCAGATGTGTACTAGAATCGTCAAATCTAGATGTATTGAGGCATTGATGATGGTTTTAGCAGCAGTGGAGCTGAGGTAGGCAGAGTTGAATGATGTAGAGACATAAGTAGGTGGTTTAAGTAAAAACACCAGGAGATCATTCATTGAAGATGGTAGACAGGATTTGTTTAAAATCTCATCCAAAAGATGATACCTCCCACACTGCAGCACTACTCAATACTTCAGTCATGTAACTAGCTTGTGAATAGAACTTGAACCCATTAGCGATACGGAGGCATGCAACTACTGAATCAAGGCTTACAGTCATGTAGTAAATGCTGTTCCATTATTCACATGTTAGGAAATGTCCAATTAAAGCTGTCAAATAATTGCAGAAAATTCTTTGCCATAGAATTATTTACTCAATTATTCTTTGCTACAAAAAAAAAATCAATACTAGGACTATACTGGAAGGGATACAAGTATGTCTTTTTAAATAAAGTTGAGCATCTGAAATTTTAATTCAGGAAGAACATAAAGAAAGAAAATAAAGGATAAAATGAACATAAATATGTATGTCAAATATTTCATCAAAAAATTTAAAGCTGAATTCATGACCACTATTCAAATTTTGATTGCAACCAATACAGTCCTTTGTTGAAATTGTTGAATTCAAACTACTAGATAATTAGCATTCTGTGGGGTCAAAACATTATTGAGTTAACAGGAGTGGACTGTCAATGTTGTAAGTTGTGAAGGTTTATTTGAGATTCTTCGGATTGTTCCTGCCTCTTGTAGCTCAAATCTGCAGCCCAGAGATGTTCTGAATGACAGTATTCAAGGTGAGAGTGATAGGTGGGTTTTATTTTTCCAGTAACTTTTTCCTAATATAAATGTGTTTTATTTGTCCAAATTACACCATTTCATTCCTTATTTTCTCTTTTTTTAGGATGTGTTTCTCCTTGTCAATAAATTTTAATGTATTTGTTTAAAGATTTAGGATCACATTTGTTTTTTTTGAGTTTGTAGGTTCTTAAGTTTTGTTTTATAGTACTCAGTGCTATACCTTAAAGAGTGTTTATTGATCCTGTATGGAAGTGTTGTTGAAATATCTATCTAGGGGTAATCCTCATTTTATTACATCTAGCCTTTCAAAAGTTCTGCACCGGGATCCTGAGGTTTAGACTTGCTCGCTGAGCTGGTGTGTTTAATTGCAGACATTTTGACACCCTGCTAGGTAAAATTATCAGTGCACCGCCTGTGAAGCGTTAGAGTTCTGTCCCGCTTGTTATTTATATGCCTTGGTTTGCTGGGTTGGTTGGCATCAGTTACGCTTTTGTTTTTCAGTGGTTTGCATATCTGGTCCAGTTCAATGTGTTTGTTGATGGAGTTCCAGTTGGAATGCCAGGCCTCCAGGAATTCCCTGGCATGTGTCTGTTTGGCTTGTGCTATAATGGATGTGTTGTTCCAATTGAATTCGTGTCCTTCTTTGGCCGTGTGTACTGATGCCGGTGAGAATTGGTCGTGTCTCTTGGTGGCGAGTTGGTGTTTGTGTGTATCCTTATTGTCAGTTTTTTTCCAGTTTGGCCTATGTAATGTTTCTCACTGTCCTTGCATGGTATTTTTAAGATTACATTGGTTTTATTGGTTGTGGGTATGGGATCCTTTTACGTTCGTCAGTAGCTGTCACAGGGTGTTTGTTGATTTGTAGGCTACCCTGATACCTAGGTGCCTGAGTAGTCTTGTGGTCATCTCTGATATGTCTCTGATGTACGGTAGGGTGACTAATGTGTCTGGCTGTGTCGTGTCTTCCTGTTGTGGAGGTAATGGCGGATTACGCTTTTTGGGTATCCATTCCTTTAAAAAAAATCTGGGTCCTGGTCTTTCACCTCTTTTGATCTCTCAGACCACATTAGCTTGATCACCCTGTGGTTGCTGGCTTTTCTTCTCCACACATTTATAGGTTCAATATCAGGACTAAACTGTTGGAAAGCCAGAGAAAAATTCTGCCTCTAATGATCGTAGGGGAGACTTTCTGCTTGGGTGAGACTTTTTAATCAGAGGACAGCGTGGTCCATAACAACTTGTATCGTCATGGCAAACAATTATGTACATGCTCTGACTGCCTAATATAGGCTAATAAGTGTTTTCCACTTTGCATCCAGCGTTATTTCTAAAATACTATTTACAGGAAATGTTGGGGTAACTGATTGTTCAACATTGCTTGTGCTGACAGTTGGTTATCCCTTCCAGAATTCTTTCTAGTAATTGTTTTCTTGTCTTAACTGAAGTGTGTATGTGGTAGCTCATGGGAGAAAAATGTAATCCTTCATTTCAAAGTATTGTGTGCTATTTGCTACAAAGTTTGGCAGACTTTAACATTAACATCTATGTTGTCCTGTGGGAAATGCTTAGCTGCACAAGCTCATTCTTTGGAAAGCATAGATTATCATCTGGGCTGGCATTAATTGTGATAGTAACAGTTAGCTTTATTTTCCCAATTTTTTTAGATACTGATATCACCTTTTGAAAAATCATTTACCTACAGAACGTTGAGGCATATATCTAATTGAACAATCTTGAGCCACGTGTGACTAGTTTCAAGGTAAATTGTGCTGGTCTCTGATCTCTGGATCCTAAAACAGAAGTAACAACCAATCAATGAATTGCAATTCAAATATTCACCTGACAATAGACAGTGATCTCACCTGTTTTCAAAGATATGCAAAGCTGGAATGGTGATAACCAATTTAATGATGGTCAAAGGGAAATATGTTCCAATGTTAGGATGCCTAATCTGTTACAATGAAGAGATCATTTTGCATTTTCAGGTCAGGCAAACTTCAAAATATACTAAGCAGACATAAACAGTAACAAAATTCAACAAGACATCTACAGACTTGCACAATAGATGCATAAAATATAACAAAGGTGAAATTTAACAGTTTGATAGGCAGATTGAAGCAAGGCAATATGAACTATATATTACCTTATTTTAGTTTTAAACAGGAATAGAGAGAACATGTGTATACATATATTCAAGAGTGACAGGACACATTAAGAAGAATGTTAAAAAGTATATGGGATCAAGAGGCATAGAATTCAAAAACATTCCAATGCCAATGGTTAGGCCTCAGCTGAATTTGTCAATTCTTGGCACCAAACTTAAGGAATTATATTAACGTTTTGGAGAAGGTTCAGAAAATGGGACACATTCATGGTGACTTCAGCCTGTACGGGAATTGAGCTCATACCGTTAGCATCACGCTGCATTGCAAATCAGCCATCCACCCAACTGAGCTAATTAACCCCCAAGATGATACTGCAATAGAAAACAGTTTACATGGAAATAGGGAAAGGGCTAGAAAGGATGAGTTGAAAGACTAACTCTATCGAAGAGACCGAATCGACCCCATGGACTTTGTTGTATAAGGTGATGGTTCTAAAAGAGTGAATACTGGAGATTGTATAAAGCTCCACCCAATCTGGTGATGTTATACAATTGTGGATGAGAAAGACA